AAAAAAAAAAAAGATTACAAAGTACAAGCCCAATTTTGTAATTATTAGATGCAACTGACATAAAACTACTGTCAAATTGCTATGAAAGTTTCTAAAAGTTTCCTCTTAATGTTTGTGCTTTGTCCCAGACTGTTAACCACTGTCTGTGGACCACATTATGAGTAGCAGTGATATAAACCACTCTAGATCTCAAAAATCTAATTATCTGTTAAACCAAAATAAACTTCTCACGATTGTCCTCTAAACTCTGAACCAGTTAGCTCAGTCTTGCCTGTGTCTAACAGGCAAGCTCTTGTGTTCTCTTCCACACAAGGGACTGTTTTTAACCCATGTATTTCTTTCCCCCTGTTTATTCAAAGCATCCTAAATACATCTCATATATATTATAACTGAATACTTATCTGCCTCAGAAAGCTTTCCTAGAAAAGGAAGAAGGGTAAAAATTACCTAATTCTTAGAATTTTTACCCTTTCCTAGAAAAGGAAATTAGGTAATTTTTACCTAATTTTTACCCTTTTGGCATTTGTATTTTCTTATATTTATTCAGCTTTATATTATTTGTATTGTTTCTTCTAATACAGCATAAATTACTTCAGAGTAAACACTGATTTTTACCCTAAATATAAAAATGTCTAGAATATAGTAACATGGACACCCAAACAATAAAAAGCATGTAAGTGGCCAGACGTGGTGACTCATGCCTGTAATCTCAGCACTTTGGGAGGCCTAGGAGGGTGGGTTGCTTGAGGCCAGGAGTTCAAGACCAGCCTGGCCAACATGGCAAAACCCTATCTCTACTAAAAAATTACAAAGATTTGCCAGGTGTGGTGGCGCATATCTGTAATCCTGGCTACTTGGGAGGCTGAGGCACGAGAATTGCTTGAACCTAGGAAGCAGAGGTTGCAGTGAGCTGAGCTCACACCATTGCACTCCAGCCTGGGCAACAGGATGTTTGTTTCAAAAAAAAATATATATGTATATATGTAATTGCTTGGCCGTCTAAAAGCCTATGTGTATGGGGAGATAAAGGACTGTTGAATATGAAATACTATCTTTTACTATGTGAATTTGTGTTTACTCCCTTTTCTCCCATGCTCTGCTTCCTTATTCTCTCTTTCTAGGCCTATCTCCACTAACCCTGGACCCTAAAACAGCTCACCCAAATCTGGTGCTCTCCAAAAGCCAGACCAGTGTGTGGCATGGTGACATTAAGAAGGAAATGCCTGATGATCCAGAGAGGTTTGACTCAAGTGTGGCTGTGCTGGGCTCAAGAGGCTTCACATCTGGAAAGTGGTACTGGGAAGTAGAAGTAGCAAAAAAGACAAAATGGACAATTGGAGTTGTCAGAGAATCCATCGTTCGGAAGGGCTGCTGTCCTCTAACTCCTGAGCAAGGATTCTGGCTTTTAAGACTAAGGAACCAAACTGATCTAAAGGCTCTGGATTTGCCTTCTTGCAGTCTGACACTGACTAACAACCTTGATAAGGTGGGCATATACCTAGATTATGAAGGAGGGCAGGTGTCCTTCTACAATGCTAAAACCATGACCCACATTTATACCTTTAGTAACACTTTCAAGGAAAAACTTTATCCCTACTTCTGCCCCTGCCTTAATGATGGTGGAGAGAATAAAGAACCATTGCACATCTTACATCCACAGTAATTAGTCATACTATTATACAAATTCAGAGTGTTAGTAAAGAGGTATTGATTGTTTTGAATACTGAAAAAAAAAGTAAAATAAAAAAAGAGGTATTGAAATATTTTACTAGTCTCACTGGATTCTGTTCCCAAATTATTGGGAACTATAGAATAATGAAAAGAGGATGCACAAATCAAATTCCATTCTTTCAGTATCCTAAATGGATTTCACTGGAGCCTTTCAAGATATTATTCTTCTCTGGGGTCTTTTATGACACAAGAACCACTCATGAAAATGATCATCATGCAGCTGTTACTGGAGCAAACTGCAGCTTGAATTTGTGATGTTTGGGAACCCTTTTCAAATATGCTCTGAAATTATCACGCTGTCATATTTTCCAGCATAATGACCTTTAGTAGATGTATTCTCAGGTGTGAACTCTCCTTACTATTTATCTTTTGATATAAATTTTTAACTTATTTCTTTTTTAGAACTTATGGCTATTTTATTTTATTTTATTTATTGTTGAGACAGAGTCTTACTGTGTTGCCTAGACTGAAGTGCAATGGCATGATCACGGCTCACTGAAGCCTCAACCTCCTGGACTCAAGCAATCCTCCCACCTAAGACTCTGAGTAACTGGAACTATAGGTGCACGCAACCATATCCAGCTAATTTTTGTATTTTTGTAGACATAAGGTTTCACCATGTTGCCCAGGCTTTTCTGGAACTCTTGGGCTCAAGAGATCCTCGTGCCTCAGCCTTCCAAAGTGTTGGAATTATAGGCATGAGCTACCATGCCTGTCCTGTAATTTAAACCATACTCTACAGGCTTAAATAAAAAAGTAGAAAATGATCTGGGTTAGTTTATAATCTTGTCTTGAATTCTCTTAAGATACATTTTAGTCCAGGAAATCCCTTCCTTTCTCAGTTCCATTTCCCTTCTTTACCTATCTGCAGGAGACATGAATATGTATATATGTGCAGTTGGAGAAATAGGGTCTCACTATGTTGCTTAGGCTAGTCTTGAATTTCTGGCCTCAAGAATCCTCCCATCTTGACTTCCCAAAGGTCTAGGATTACAGATGTGAGCCACCATACCCGACCTCCATCTACTTTTGACTACATCCTTTTTCATCATTCCTGCCTATAATTTAAGTAGTATTTTGCATCCTGTACTCTCCAATATACTCATCCTCGAGCTTGTTCCAGGTCTAAAATTCTTAACCTCATTAATCTCAGCAGTACTCTTGATTGACTGTCCCTATTTCCTTTCTTTAGAAGTCCTCAACTAAATGGGCTTTATTCTCTATAGCTGACAATTTTGGGGGAACTTTTTAGGACCTTCAGCATTGGCTTTCTAAATTATAATTCGCACAGTTTTTGTTTTTTTTTTTGGTGGGGGGCGGGCAACAGCTTAAATGTATGTATGTGAAAAGTAATACAAATACTACAGACAACATTTATGTAGTTTGGTATATATAATATGCATACATTTACAACTGCTGATTTAGATAGACAGCCATAACAGAATTAAGACTAAATTTAAGAAATTACCTTGTTTTTTAGGCCAGGGGCGGTGGCTCACTCCTGTAATCCCAGCACTTTGGGAGGCTGAGGCAGGCGGATCACCTGAGGTTGGAAGCTCGAGACCAGCCAGAAAAAACATGGAGAAACCCTATCTCTACTAAAAATACAGAATTAGTTGGGTGTGTGGTGCGTGCCTGTAATCTCAGCTTCTCGGGAGGCTGAGGCAGGAGAATCACTTGAACCTGGGAGGTGGAGACTGCAGTGAGCCAAGATCGTGCCATTGCACTCCAGCTTTGGAAACAAGAGTGAAACTTCATCTCAAAAAAAAAAAAAATCTATACATAAGATTAAAAAAAATAAATCACCTTGTTTTTTAATGAATTCGCTTCAATCAGAATGTAGTAAGACACATTTTGTGCTTGGAATCTTGCATAATGTCTTAAGGGATATAAAAGCAGCATAAAAAGAAAAAGAAAGGCATGCCAATAGAAAGGAAAGAAATCTGACTAAAAATTAATTCACTTCTAAGGTATAAAAAGTTACAGCTGAAATAAATTATTATATTTTTAAGACAAGATCTCACTCTGTCACCCAGGCTGGAATACAGTGGCACAAACACCGCTCATTGCAGCCTGGGACTCTCTGGTCTTCCCACCTCAGCCTCCTCAGTAGATGGGATTATAGGTGTGGGCAACTACACCCAACTTAATTTTTTTTTAAGTAGAGATGAGGCCTCACTATGTTGCCCAGGCTTGAAATGGTTCTTAACCCTGGATACACATTAGGTTCATGTAGGAAGTTGTTTTTTTTTTTTTTTTTTTTTTTTTTGAGACGGATGTTTGGTCTTGTTGCCCAGGTTGGAGTGCAATGGCGCGATCTCAACTAACCACAACCTCCACTTCCCAGGTTCAAGCAATTGTCCTGCCTCAGCCTCCTGAGTAGCTTTGATTACAGGCATGCACCATCATGCCCAGCTAATTTTGTATTTTTATTAAAGATGGGATTTCTCCATGTTGGTCAGGCTGGTCTTGAACTCCCAACCTCAGGTGATCTGCCTGCCTCAGCCTCCCAAAGTGCTGGGATTACAGGCATGAGCCACAGCCCCAGCCTCTTGTAGGAAGCTTTAAAAAAATTTAGATGCCTGGACTCCAGCCAAGACCAATTAAATAAAGATGTCTAGCAGGTGGAATCCTGCTAGAGTCCCAGTGTATAGTGGTTACAGGCCACTAGTTTCTAAAAGCTCTCAGGTGATTCTAATGTGTGGCTGAGACAAACAGCCACTGAACTAAAGGAACATGTTTTATTTATTTATTTTTACTTTAAAAAATTTTTTCCATAAGTTATTGGGGTACAGGTGGTATTTGGATACATGGTAGTTTTGATTACGTGGTGATCTGTGAGATTTTGGTGCACCCATCACCTGAGAAGCACACTCTGAACCATATTTGTAGTCTTTTATCCCTCACCCCCTCCCACTCTTACCTCCAAGTCCCCAAAGTCCATTGTATCATTCTTTTTTTTTTTTTTTTTTGTGGCCCCAAACAAGAGCCAAGTGCACATATATTGTATCATTCTTATGCCTTTGCGTCCTCATAGCTTAGCTCCCACATTATCAGTGAAGACATACAAGGTTTGGTTTTCCATGAGTTACTTCACTTAGAAAAATAGTCTCCAATCTCATCCAGCTCATTGCAAATGCCATTAATTCATTTCTTTTTATGGCTGAGCAGTATTCCAGTGTATAAATATACCATAGTTTCTTTATCAACTCGTTGACTGATGGACATTTGGGTTGGTTCCATGATTTTGCAATTGCAAATTGTACTGTTATAAACATGGGTGTGAAAGTATCTTTTTTAGTATAATGACTTCTTTGCCTGTATAATGACTTCTTTTCCTCTGGGTAGATACCCTGTTATAGGATTGCACAATTAAATAGTAGTTCTACTTTTAGTTCTTTAAGAAATCTCCACACTATTTTCCATAGTGTTTTCTACTAGTTTACATTCTCACTAGCAGTGTGGAAGTGTTCTCTGTTTACCGCATCCATGCCAACCTCTAGTTTTTTGATTATGGCCATTCTTGCAGGAGTAAGGTGGTATTGCATTGTGGTTTTGATTTGCATTTCCCTGATCATTAGTGATCTTGAGCATTTTTTCATATGCTGGCCATTTGTATATCTTCCTTTGAGAATTGTCTATTCATGTCCTTAGCCCACTTTTTGATGGGATTGTTTGTTTTTTTCTTACTGATTTGTTTGAGTTCATTGTAGATTCTGGATATTAGTATTTTGTCAGATGTATAGATTGTGAAGATTTTCTCCCACTCTGTGGGTTGTCTGTTTACTCTGCTGACTGTTCCTTTTGCTGTGTAAAAGCTCTTTAGTTTAATTAAATCCCAATTATTTATCTTTGTTTTTATTGCATTTGCTTTTGGGTTATTAGTCATGAAATCCTTGCCTAAGCCAATGTCAAGAAGGGTTTTTCCAATGTTATCTTCTAGAATTTTTAGAGTTTCAGGTCCTAGATTTAAGTTCTTAATCAATCTTGAGTTGATTTTTGTATAAGCTGAGAGATAAGGATCCAGATTCATTCTCCTGCATGTTGCTAGCCAATTATCCCAGCATCATTTGTTGAAAAAGTTGTCCTTTCCCCACTTTATGTTTTTGTTTGCTTTGTCAAAGATCCGTTGGCCTAAGTATGTGGGTTTATTCCTGGGTTCTCTATTCTGTTCCATCAGTGTAAGTGCCCATTTTTATACCAGTACCATGATGTTTTGGTGACTATGGCCTTATAGTATAGTTTGAAATCAGGAGTGTAATGCCTCCAGATTTGTTCTTTTTGCTTAGTCTTGCTTTGGCTATGTGGGCTCTTTTTTGGTCCAATATGAATTTTAGAATTGTTTTTTCTAATTCTGTGAAGAATGGTGGTGGTATTTTGATAGGAATTGCATTGAATTTGTAGATTGATTTTGGCAGTGTGGTTATTTTCACAATATTGATTCTACCCATATATGAGCATGGGATGTGTTTCCATTTGTTTGTGTCATCTATGATTTCTTTCAGCAGTGTTTTGTAGTTTCTTTGCAGAGGTCTTTCACCTCCTTGTTTAGGTATATTCCTAAGTTTTTTTTTTTTAATTTTATTTATTTATTTATTTTGCTGCTATTGTAAAAGGGGTTGAGTTCTTGATTTGATTCTATGCTTGGTCACTGTTGGCGTATAGAAGAGTTACTGATTTGTGTATATTAATCTTGTATCTGGAAACTTTGCTGAATTATTTTATCAGTTCTAGGTACTTTCTGGAGGAGTCCTTAAGGTTTTCAAGGCAAATGATCAAATAGCCAGCAAACAGTGACAGTTTGACGTCTTCTTTACTGATTTGGGTGCCCTTTATTTCTTTATTTTGTCTGATTTCTCTGACTAGGACTTCCAGTACTATGTTGAAAAGGAGTGGTAAGAGTGAGCATCCTTGTCTTGTTCCAGTTCTCAGAGGGAATGCTTTCAACTTTTCCTTATTCAGTATTATGTTGGCTGTGGGTTTGACGTAGATGGCTTTTATTACATTGAGGTATGTCCCTTGTATGCCAGTTTTGCTGAGAGTTTTAATCATAAAGGATGCTGGATTTTATCAAATGCTTTTTCTGCATCTATTGAGGTGATCATGTGATTTTTGTTTTTAATTCTGTTTATGTGGTGTATCACATTTATTGACTTGCATATGTTAAACCATCCCTGAATCTCTGGTATGAAATCTACTTGATCATGGTGGATTATCTTTTTGATATGTTGTTGGATTCAGTTATCTAGTATTTTGTTAAGGATTTTAGCATCTATGTTCATCAGGGATATCAGTCTGTAGTTTTCTTTTTTGGTTGTCCTTTCCTGGTTTTTGCATTTTAGGGTAATGC